CTTTCAAGCCCACAGGGGAGGCTCTGGGCTGCTTCTGGATGAGATTATTACTCAGGAGAAAGTACCTGTACTCTGAAAACCATAGAAATCCAACCCCGGCTGCCTCTACCACAACATGGTTTGGACTGACTTTTCAGAACCCGGCTGAGCCGCAAACCCGATATGTGAAAATTCCAATTGATTGAACACAGAAGCCGCACTGAGGATTCAATCCTGGGTGTATTTAAGCGGTTGGCTTCCCTGCGTGTATTGTAAACAGGTCTCTTTATAGAATTCCACTCTGCACACAACTTTTCAGCCGCCTCTATAGAACCAAATAAAGTAGGGTTTCCCTGAGGTCCTACCAACTTCTGAAAGCTACCTGAGCAGGCATCTCAAATGGAAGCTCCTTCCCTGAGCTTCACAGATCATGAAGCCCGTTCACAGTCAAAATCTCACCTACGACTGACAGGAGCAGCTCATCTCCATATTCCAACCCGAGAAACTGAGTCACACAGGGTGGAAGTGGCTACCCTCAACTCCTGTGTGGAGCGAGGACACCACGGGACCACAGCCAGCCCTCCCAGTGTCCCTGTGGATGCTCCTGTCTTAAGGCAGAGTTTGTAATCTTTCCTGCAGAAACAGTTCCTTGCTGGTCTCTTCTCTGGGTCCCTGCAGCCAGCAGTGTGGAGACCCAACCCCGGAGAATGAGAGCCTGGTGTTCCAGCACCTCCCAGCCGTTCCAGCCCCTCTGCCAGCATTCCCATGTTCCAGTTCCACAGGATGTCACTGGTGGTCCCAAAATGTGATTTGGAGTTGTTGCCCGTGACAACCCTTTGCCTCAACCCCACCAATGTGGATGCGGATGGTGGTGACGTGGGGAGAAGAGTCATAAATGGGTGAATGTGCAACAGGGCGGGACTAGGATGAAGCAAACTATACACCCAGGGTGTAAAATGTAACAAGGTTCTTCAGTAAGTTAAACGTAGAATTAGCATATGACCCAGCGGTTCCACTCCGAGGTACAGACCCAGAAGAATTGGACACAGCTGTTCAAACAAATGCTTGTACAGGAATGGTCATAGTGGCTCTTTTCACAAAAGGTGGAGACGATTAAAGCGCCCGTCAACAGATGAGTAGTACATCCACAGAAGGGAACATTATATAGCTATGAAAAGGGATGAAGTATTGATTCGTGCAGAACATGGTTGAAACTTAAGAACATCACACTAAATGCATGAAGCCAGTCACAAATGACCACGTATCATAGGATTTCACCCTTGTCAAATATCCTGAACTGGCCAACCCATGGAGACAGAAAGCAGGTCGCTGGTTGCCAGTGGCTGTGGGGGAGAGGGGCTGGGAGTGAGTGCCGGTGGGTGAGGGTCTCCTTTTGGAGCGACGACGGTGTTCCAGAACTAGATCATGCTGATGGGCGCACAACACGGTGCATGCACTGAAAAACCACTGAACTGTACTCTTGAGAGTGGTTTCAGTGTTAAATTTTATGTTGTGTGTATCTCAACACACACACACACACACTCACTCTGGGTGCCAGCCTACACTTGCACACCGAGAGGGCGAGGGCCTTCTCACATTTTGTACCCTGGGTGCTCCCTTGTCTTGCCCTAACCCTGCTCCTGGTGTCCACAGCGCCCCCCGCCCCAGGGGTAAGAGGATTCTGTGTTTCCTCTGGGGCTTCTCCTTTGCCCACCGCTTCCCCGGGAGAGCACTTCCTCTCCTGTTCAATCCCTGGACGGATAGAGAATAGGACATATTTGGGGAAAAAGAAGCTGACCTCGGGAATCAAGGCCAGGAATTGCCTGGGAACAGCCACACTTATCGGAGAGAAGGAAAACTAGAGAGAGACAGGAAATGGAGAGGGAAGGAGAAGAATCACTAAGCTCAATCTTTTTAAAATTTTTATTTACTTATTTATTTTTAGATAGAGGGGAAGGGAGCAGAAAGAGAGGGACAGAACCACCAGTGTGTGGTTGCCTCTCGACACCCCCCACGAGGGCCTGGGCCTGCAACCCAGGCGTGTGCCCTGACCGGGAATCGAAACAGCGACCCTTTTGTTCGCAGGCCAGTGCTCATCCACTGAGCCACATCAGCCAGGGCTAAGCTCGACTTTTAAAAACAACTTCATTGAGATACAAGTCACCCACTCAAAGTGGTGGGTATAAAGTGCACGCAGTTCCAGTTCTGCAAGGAGTAAGCGCCGGGGGTCTAAAGTGCGGCATGCGGACCCCAGTCAGCGGTACCGTATTGCACCCCCGAAGGTTGCTGAGAGGTCTTAAACATTTCGCCCTCCACAAAAGCGGCGACTGGGTGAGGCGATGGACGAGTTAATTAACCTTCCTGGGGTGAACGTTCTTAACATACACATACACAAAGTCATCGTGTTTGGTTTTCATGGTCACTCGGTGCGCGTGTTTTCTGGTTTCCTTTGTGATTCTCCCCACATGTCATTTATTGAGGTGCACGGTGTACTAAAGGTTCAAACAGAGACGAAAATGATACACAGCTTGCTGATGGGGCTAATCCCTGGGAGTGGGGGGAAATGGTAGATAGATAGCAACAGTGCTCTCCAGCGCTTCTGCTCTCTTCTTCCTCTGACACGTGAGACGGTGACCCTCTACAGCCCCTTGGAAGCTGGACTCAGACAAGTGACTTGCTAGCCAGTGAAGCGTGGGCAGAAATAACACGTGCCATGGAGACTTTGTGCCTCCTTCCCTGCACAAAGGAGACTTCCCTGAAGTCTCATCCTGAGGCCACCCACTGGCCTGGGTTCCTGAGTGACTACAAGGAATCCAGCTCTCCCCAGGCAACCTCACTGGGTACGGAGAGTGGGAGGGAAATAGACCTCAGTTGTTGAAAGCTACTGAGATCTGGGGAGTGTTTGTTACTACTGCAGAACCTAGACTTTCCTGACTGCTACGCAGAGCTTTGATTGTGTTTGTTCGTTTTTGTTTATCACAAACCTAAAGATTTATGTTTTAATGTTTTTAATCCTCACCTGAAGATATGTTTACTAATGTTAGGGGGATGGGGAGAAAGAGAGAATGACTGGGATTCCAACCTGCAACCTTGTAGTGCACGGGATGACGCTCCAACCCACTGAGCCACAAGCTGGGGCTCTCTTTTAATTTTTTAACATGGGCAGTTGGTATATGAGTGTTTGTGATCTGATTTTCTATAATTTCTGTGTATCTCAAGCATTTAATTTTTAAAAAGCGCAATAGGTGGGGAGGTGGAGAGCAGGAGGAAACTGGGGTGATGGGCTCCTTTGTTCTGCCCCCCACATTGATTTCCCAACGCTGGGGCTGGAAGTGGCCCGACTGTTCCTCCAGCTGTGGCATCAGGAAGGGACAGGCGCTTCTCTCCACCCCCCTACTTTGCCACACCACTCGGCTCCATCTGGTGCCTCTGATATTTATTTGTATGTTTATTGTCCCTCACCCCTTAGAGAGTAAACTGCTTAAGAACAGGGACTTTAGTGTATAATTTCAGTGCCTAGAACTAAGCCCGGCTCACTCACTTTTTAAAATATTTATTTATTTTTAGAGAGAGGGGTCGGGAAGGAGAAAGAGTGGGAGAGAAACATCAATGTGTGGTTGCCTCTCATGTGTCCCCTACTGGGGACCTGGACTGCAACCCAGGCATGTGCCCTGACTGGGAATCAAACTGGAGACTCTTTGCTTCACAGGCCCGTGCTCAATCCACTGAGCTACACCAGCCAGGATACCACCTGGTTATTAAATGACCTGGTGAAACGTTGCTTCCCCGCCGCAGGCTGTCTCTGCCCCAGAGGACACGGCCCCTGCCTCCTCCCCATTCCACATTCCTTCACCTGCCCTTCCCCCAGTGCAAACACACAGTGGGGGTGAGGACAGGGCAAACAGCTCTTTACTCAGAGGTTCAGGTAGATAACTTGTTTCTGTGCCGTATGTGTCTGTGTGCGTGTGTCTGTCTGTCTGTTGAAGGGATGAGGGGAAAGGGGGTCTTCTACCCCATTCCCCCCCCAGGTAAGAGTCTGCTAAGAAGGCCTGCAGAGGCTGGAACAGGTAGCGCCTCCCCCCAGGGGCTCCCGCAGCCTCAGGGAGGAGCCTGGAGCTGGCTTCCCCTGGCAGATGCTGGGAACATGGGTCCTCAGAAATTCCTTGGCCACCTGGGCATGGAGACGCTCTGGCTGCACCAGCCCACGCAGCAGCCTGAATTCCTGTAATTAGATATAATGACACACGCGGAGCTTCCAGCAGCTCTAACGACACAACGCCTCCCGGCCCATCTCAGGGATCAGTGGGGCCTAATTAGGTCTGGCGCCAAGAGGTGGGAAAGCCAAGGGAGAGGCAGCAGGGAGAGGACCCTGGCCTTGGAGTTCATCAGCCTGTGTGCCAGGTCCAGTTCGGCTCCCGTGTGACGGCGAGGCTTTGGGCGAGTCAGTGCTTTTCTCCAAGCTCTCGTTTTCTCATCTCTGAAATGGGGGGTGCTGTGAAGAGTGGGGGTCCTCTTCTCCAAGGGCGCTGCTGGCAGAGTGGGGGGCCCAGGCCGGGGCAGACAGGGTCAGCATCCTGGGGAGGGTCTCGGTGCTCGGGAGACCCCCAGACCTTTCTCCGAAGGTTCACGGAAGGACCGCTGCCCCATATGACCAAATTGATCAATTTTTTGAAAAACCTGTTTAAGAAATAGTCTTTTTGATTATATTCGATGTACATTTTACTAATGGAGGTGTCCCCTTCCCAGCAGCATTTCAGGGATTATTCAGTCTGGCCCCAAACCTGAGGGTCATAAGACATTTTTTATTCTTCTAGTGCATGTCTTCTTCTTAAATAATATCCCATGAATGTTTCTTTTCACTTTAGACTGATTTTTTAAAAAATTCCTCAGAAAGTAATTTTCTGTCTTATCAGCATTTTAGCAAGCAGGGGATACTTTTGCAGATTTTTGCTAAATTGTGAACTCTACAAATTGTCCAAATTTACTGTTTGTTCAAAACGTGTTTCTTTTCATCGCATTGTTCTATTTTTATTTCAGTTGTTATTAAGATTATACGTGCCCTTTGTTCTGCGAGACTTACGATGAAAAGCAGCGGTCTGCCCTCCGCTCTGTCCCTGCCCCCACCTCCCAGGCACCGGAGGCCGCGGCTGTTAACGAAGACACGGAAGTTGTTTTTTCATCCTTTGGGAAACATCACGCTTACACTTTTTATTTCTTAATGTTCGCTTTTAGATACAATCTACCATCTCCCTAATTTGGAAGACAAGAGCTTCCGCTCTGCACACCCTTCCTCCCTGCTTCTCCTGCTGCCATTTTCCTAACGATGTTTTGGTAGACAAATGCTTCAGGGTTCACCGTGTGACCATGTAAATATTATCAGCAGCCAAGCCATGTAGAGAATTATGCTGACGTTTATTTCTTGGATGTCTGTCTGCTTCCCCCAGAATTATTAGTTTTCCGGTTAGTTCTGTTTGTTTGCTTGTTTGCTTGGTTGGGGTCTAGGTGCCACCCCCAATTTACCCCAAACCTTCCCCCAGGATTTGAGGTCCTCAGGCACCCCTCTGCCTCCTCACCCCCTTTTTTGGAAATATTCATCATGGAGCCTTCTGAACACATTTTATAATGTCACCCTGCATGGAATTAAAAAATAATTTTGCTTGAAAATATTTCAAGTGAAGACACCGTATTCGGTTTTTGCCAGTTGCTCCCGAACCCCGCAGTCTGGTGTAGTGGGATGTGAAGTGGGTGCAAACCGCACCCGAGGTGCCCCGACCGCCCTTCCAGCCCGGTTCTATCGCTCCAGTCTCCTTCTGTCTAAAACGCTCCATCTTGCCTTGATTTCCACACTCGATGTTTTGAAGATAACAGGGCAGTTGTTTAGCAGAATGTTGCTCAATTTGTGTTTGTCTGTTCCCACGCAATTATGCCCCAGTGACAGGCGTCGGGCAGAAACGTCACAGGAGCGACACTGTGCTTTCTCGTTCCTCCTCTCAGGTGCCACACGACTTTGATTTGTGGGCACTGGTGGTGTCGACTGTGATCAATGCACCCTGTGATGGCTTTCTTCAATGTCAAGGTGCTTTGTGGTGTTTAGCGGTGTAAGTCCCTTGTGTGGAGATGTAGCAGCACTGTGTGAATGTCCCATCTTCTGTCCATTTACACCCCTCATCTCAGCATTCACTGGTGTCTCCTATCTGAAGTAATCATTCATTATCATAATAGTTGCCAAAAGGTGATGTAGTCTCCTTATTATGTGGCATGCTACTGTAAGGAAATGCATTTTCCCTGTCCGTTTATTCATTTGTTTGTTTGTTTGCTTGTTTGTTTGTTTATTGTGGTATGGAGTCACGGATTCTTACTTTGTTCAGTGGGCTGGGATCCATTGCCATCGTTATCTATTTTGACGTGCAAATGACATTGGATTTGGGCAGAAGAAGGTCCGTCCAGCTGGCTCCTGTGCCGCCCTCATTCTCGGGGCACTTCTTTATGTTCCAACACAAGGTGTTCTGGGCTCGTCCTGTGCACTCTCTGGCCCAGCTGGGAGTCACCCATTCCTCCAATGATCTCGATTGCTTTCCAGGGGAGAACGGCATTTCGAAAACAAGCCCTTGGTGCTATGTGTGCTGATTGCTACTGGAGAATGCTTCCAAACCTTGGTGAGCAGAGCCGGCGGGGGGGGGGGGAGGGAGCCATGGCAGGTTACTCACCTGCTCCATCCCCTGTATGTATGTGTATATGTGTGTATACCTGTTCTCCGACCTGTCCATCTGGCCGCTGTGCCACCCAACATTAACTCCTCCCCTGCCAGGACCTGCCTAATGACTTTCAAAAACTGAGAAAGGAAGGTGGGTAGGAAGAAAGGTAAGCAGGGAGGGAGAGGGGAGGAAAGGAGAGAGAAAATAGGCCAGCAGGCATGGGGTACTTTCTAATAACTTTCGATTTCTGGGATTTTTCAGGAATGTTGACTTTCTCTCTATCCTGACATCCCGACTCTGCCTCTGGAAAGAACTGGAATAAAGATTATGGGGGAAGAAAGAACCGTGCCCCAGGCCGAACCACAGGTCCTGGAGGTGAAGAGGGCCTGTGGGCCCCAGACCCTGGCTTCCCACCGCCCTCCAAGGCCTGGTTGATCCATCTCATACATGCTGTTAGAAACTTTATAAGCTCCTGAGTTGGGGAGTTAGCAAACTGATCCTTTGATGGACCAACTCAGTTACGGTGGGGGTGAGAGGTGAAGGGTGGTCCCTACTCAGACTCTGCGGTCTCCCTGGTACACCCGGAGTAGCTGTTTATCTGCACTAGGACAACTGGGCTTCTGCGTGATCTTTCTTCTGACAAAGGTTTAGAAGAAAGACGAAGCCTGGGTGCAAGCCCTCTTCTGCCTCCAGTGTGCTGTGTGGCCCCAGGCAGCCTTCCTGCCTTTTCTGGGCTTCAGCTCCCCACCTGGGAGCAGAGAGATCAGGTGCTAAGCTCTGTGCATCTCTGCTCAGGCGTGTGGAACATATAGCTGGGGATCGATGGGGTCCTCTTTGGCCATCAGCTGCCGGGGGCAGGGAAGAAAGGAGACACCTTCCCTTCCCTCTCCCAGAGAAACAGGTCCGCTGGCTGGGCCTGGGCCCGCAGCCAAGAGGAAACGGAGACAATAAGCCGGAGTCACCCCAGCCAGCCAGGGCAGGTTGTGCAACTTCCGCTCAGCGCCTGCCAACGAGACTTTGGCCCCAGGACTCTGAGCTCTGGGCGGCCCTCATTCCTCCCCTAGGACCCGGACCACCCAGCTTAGGGGGTAGCGTAGGGGTGGGCGGGGTACTTTCTTTGTCCCAAGGGCAGCCAGGTGGCTCCAGGTTCCCTGAGGAAGGTCCCACTGACAGAAGTCAGAGCACATGGCCGTAGCAGGACGGTGGAGGAGGACAGCCGAGGGGAGGCTCCATGTGTGACTGAGCGTGTGCCTGAGTTTGCGTGTGGGTGGTGGCATGTGTGAGTGTGGTGTGAGAAGCTGTGTCATCCCCTAGGTCACCTGCACGGGAGCAACACCAGAGGGGTTTCTGGATGCTGCTCTGTACCCATGTGGATGCTGGGGATAAATGCTCCAGTCTGCCAGGGTATGACATGTGTCTACGCATGTGAGGACACCTTGGTGAGCTGATGTGTGAGTTAGCTGTGTGTGCACATGCATGTTATGGGGCATGTAGCAGACTGCAGGGGATATTGTGCACATGGGTGTAATTCCATGGGGGCACGTGTAACTATGAGTGTGTGCCGATGAGTGAGCATGTGAGTGTGAATCCATGTACATGTGTGTGCATTGGTGGGTGGGCATTTCTGCCATTGGGGGTTTGTGTGTTTATGTCTGTGTAAGCCCCAGTGGCTGAGCCTGTGGTCTCCGTGGGGGTATGACAGTGTGTGGACGTGCATGACATGCATGTGAGTGCATGTAAAGCATGGCTGCTCATTTACATGCTGGTGCAGGATGTAACATGCCGGGACCCTGGGCCTGGGTCCAGACTGTCATGTGCATCACCCCTGTTGATCCCACCAAACTGTGGATGATTGGCATCTTTCCGGCAAGTCTATTTCGAGTCCCAACTTCCCACCTATACTGGAGGGTAAGTTGGATGGGGGGAATTATAGGCTCCTCCCACCTCTGTGAGGGCCTGTACCCCAAAGAACATGAGAGCCCAGAAATCCTAAGATTTACCTTGGTCTCTGGGTGAAGGGGCAGAAGGCTTCGAAGTCACAGAAAAAGTCAGGGACTCTGAGCCCAAGACAGAGCACACCCAGGAAGGGCTGGACGCCAGTCAGAGCCCCCTATCTGGCGGCCTCTACCGTGGCTGGAGGTGGGGGGCTGGCTGAATGACCGCTGGAAGGGAAGAAGGGGGTCGGGCAGCCACGGCCCAAGCATCGCTCCCATAGGCGTCCTGGGCTGGAGGAGGTGGTGACACACCTTCCAGTGGTCAAATCACAGCAGCAGCCACCTCAGGGAATCGGTGGTTTTGTAGGGGCCAAAGTCACAAAGACTGCAGCCAGTGCTGGAAAAATGGCAACCCCCACCCCCCACTTCTCACTAAGCAGAGAGAGTGAGAAACATTCTCTGGCCTCTCCTCGCCTCCCACCCTATCATCTCCCCGCCAGTGTTTCCTGTCGGCCCAACCCCAGCTGGACGCCAGTGGGCAGAGGAGCCTGGGAAAAGCAGCTCGCAGGAGATGGGCCGTCGCTTAGGAAAGGAAATAACAATGCCCAGCACACTCTCCTGTGATGCACTCTGCAGGGGCTGAGAACTTGGGAAAAGCAAAGAAATACTTGGCACCCTCCCCAGGACTATGGATATGATTAACTTTTGATAAAAGAGTTTAATGGACTGCGCATGTGCCCGAGCACACAGGGTTCCCAGCGCCACGTGCTCCCGGAGTGTGGCTTCATTCCGTCCCCACCACGGCCCCACAAAATCGGGACAAAGCTTCCTGTGCTGGAGTAGAGGAAACAGAAGCTTTCAGAAGGAAGTGGCTTCTCCCGGGCCCCACAGCTGCAGAATGGCTCACACCCATGTCAGCGTGACTCCGGGGACCCGGAGACTGGGTGAAAAGCACTAAGTCAGTTTGGAGTCCGCTCCAAACAGTTGGGAGCAGATGCTGACTACCAGTCTGGGCTGGAGGCCCTGGGTAAGATTCTGAGGAGAGAAGTGTTAACCGGGTGGGGCCAGCTGGGGAGACAGCTGGTGGTGGTGAACCCCGGAGCCTCCTGGAAGGGTTAAGAGCAGGACTTGAGAGCCCGGCAGCCTGGGTCGCATCCGCCCTGCCGCCGCCACCTGTGTGCCTGGCTCTTTCTGCGCCGTGGTTTCCTCATGTGTCAAGTGGTGTAATAGTGATAGTGGTGCCCGTTTCACAGGGCTGCTGTGAGAACTGAAAGTTGCGTATTTGATGCTATTAGGTGTTGCTCTTATTTCCATTTCACAAGTGAGGAGCCCGAGGCTCCGAGAAGTTAAGTCAGTGAAGACGGCACTGCTGGGAAATAAATCTTGCTGAAGTCTGCCCTGAGTCCGGGGCCCTCTGCGGCGCCCCTTCATTCCCTGCCTGCGCCCCACAGAGTCTTTGCCCACCCTCTTTGATGCACACGACTCCTTCCCACTGTCATATGAGTCCTCTCTCCTCTTGTCCAGCTCCACTCTGATAAGCCACCTCCCCAGGCACCTCCAGGCCCGGGGGTGCCTCCAGCTTCCTGCTGTGGCTGATCTCTGGGCGGTGGCACCATCCTCCCCCATCCGCTCCGCTGCCCTGGAGTAACCGGCCCCTGTACTAACTTCCCTCTGTCTGAAACTTAGGGTATTTCGAGATGCTGCTTTGTCCCATAATCACCATTTCTGGGAGTCGCTCTTCTGTGTGCTTTTCATATGTTAATCTATTTAATAAGAGGATCCTACTGATGGAGGGGCCCAGGCACTGTTACCCTGCTTTACAGAGGAGGAAGTCAGGGGTCTGGAGAGGGAGACCTGTTTGCCTGAGGTCATGCAGCCAGTGAGGTGCACAGCCCAGGCTCCGAGTCAGGAGGTTCAAGGCCAGGCCCCACCTCCAACCACTGGATCAACTGCCTCACTTGATGGTATAGCCCTCATGACTGCCAGGTGACCTCTGTGGCATCAGAGTCCCTGTTTGTCTCTCTCTGGCGTCTCCTGCCCACATGGTCTCTTCTTCAAGCTGCTGACTCCGGTGCCTGAGGAGGGGCCGGGAGGTGGTCTCAGGCCTCTGCATTCAGGCGTCCTCCCAGGTCTTCCCGGGAAGGGCTCCTCACTCCAGTGTCTCTCCCCATCCACACTGTCCCCGCCACACTTCTCCCGGCACCGGTCCCCTCACAGGAGCCTTGATGACGCACCCACAGGGCACTTTCACTTCCTTCTCTGGAGGAGGCTTTGACCTGCCTGCTGCAGCTGCAGAAAGAAGCCTCCTATTTGGGGGGCTTGAAAGGCCATGAGGGGTGGCTGTGGGCCCTACTGGGCACTCAAGGCACAGGCCTCTGGGGCTGTAGTGCTACCTCTGGAGAGCAGGGTGGCAGGGGGTTCCTGGGCCTCCTGGCCAGACACTGGCCCGAGCTAAACCCTGTCAAAGTGTCGGTCACCCCCAGCACCTATACAGGCTGGCACACAGGGGGACTGACTTAGAATTTGTAAGCTGGAGTTGTGCCTGTCATACTTATTGATGGCATTGGAGGGACCCATCATTCATTCATTCATCGAATCTGTCCTGGCCGCCTATGTACCAAGAAGTCCCGTGTGTGACAAGAAGCCGAAGCTCACTCTCTGCCCTTGAGAACCTCACAGTTGACAGCGATGGTCGTGTGGGTTAAGGGGGCAGATTTACAAACAGAAAACCCAAATAGGAGAAAAGAAAATCCAACACAACACTTCTGAGGTCTCTTCACACAGTTTATCAGAAATGTTTACACAGAAATGCTTCCTCTTTACAACCTGGCTTCCTCTCTCCCTTTAGAGCACTCTATGGCTCCCAGCTACTCCAGGACGTAGGTGAGAGTTAACACCTCAGTGCGGCATCCTCGGTGCCATGCACCTCCAGGGACACGGCTCATATCCCAGTCTAACAGGACAGCACCTGGTCCTGTGATTCAGCTCTGGAGTCAGGCTTGGGTTACACTCCTGCCTTGGCCATTTTCCGATGGTGCGACCTGGAGGAAGTTGGTTATCTTCTCTGAAGTGGCTTACCCATCTGTAAAATGCAGCTATTGATAGAGCCACCACGACATCATGTTTTTGTAAGAATTCAATAAAATCACCCACGCAGAGCACCTGGCTCTCTGTAAACATGCACTCCGTGTACGTCAGCTGTCACACAGAGAACTGCTACCTACGACAAGGGTCTACTTATGAGTGCCCGATCCTGCTCATGTGCCTACATGTCGGAGGGGTGGGGGCAATTAGGGGACGCTTCCCAGAAAAGGTAACACTGGTGTCGAGTCTTGGAGGAGAAGGTGGGGAAGAGCATTCCAGCCACAGGGAGAAGGCCAGGCATGGCCACGGAGCGGGGTGTGTTTGGAGAGGCAAAGGAGCCAGGTCACGAGCGGCCCGGAGGAGTCCTCCAGCTTGGCCCGAGCTGCCCGGGCCCCTGGCGGGGGCTGCTGTTGTGTCTGGGTGGGTGGGGGCTGCCCAGCTCGGTCTCCGAGCTGCTGGCAGCAGTTTCAGACCGCTCGCCCTCTGCCCCTCCTGTTTCCCGGCCTCCACTTCCTTCCTCTGCACAGACCGCAGAGGCATTTCAGAGGAAGCTGCTACTTATTTTAGCAGCGATCCCTGGACACCCCCACCCACAGCTGCCCCTGCGCCTGGGCCCCTGCAGAGGCACAAAGTCATTCTCTGAGTCACTGCCTGAAGCACTCGGGGTGAGGAACCATTCTACCTCCTGCCCTGCAGCAAACCTAGGAGCCCCAGTGTCGGAGCTGGGAGGCCAGGTTCAAGGCCAGCTCCAGCACTGACCTGCTGTGTGATCTCCAGGTCCCTCTGCCTTTCAAGCCCCGGGCCCCCATCTGTGCTATGGGACCTGACGCAAGCTTTGGGTAGAGAATAGGTCGAGGTGGTCCAGCTGGAAGGACCTGAGAGAGGGTCTCACGCACATCGGGCTTGGGGCCTGGAAGCTTATACTTTAGAGACCAATTTTTAAGGAAAAAAAAAAGAATCACAAATACTAACTTGCTTAGGAAAGTGAACTATTATTTAGAAAGGGCCTGTGCAAGTGAGGAGCCTGAAGATTAAGGTTTTCATTGCCACAGCAAACCCGGCTTTGGAGACAGTCCCCAAAGTCCTCAGGAGACGGTGGGGAAACTGAGGCCCAGGGAGCAGATGCCAATGGCCCAAACACAGTCACCCAGTCAGCAAGGGGCAGCCTGGGATTTGAACCCAGATTTGTCACAAGTCAATGCCTATGATTTACCCAGTATTCTTTTTTTTTAGTATAAAATTTTAATATTTAGAATTAGCCAGCGGGGCGCAATTTAGATGATCCCAGTTTTGTTGGCAACATCCAAAGCATCATAGTAGGGAGCCAGTCGAACACACGCCTTCTTCTCCCCATCAGGCCCGATCAGGGTGTTGACCTTGACCACATCAATGGCACAGAGCTTCTTCACAGCCTGTTTGATCTGGTGCTTGTTGGCCTTGACATCCACAATGAACACAAGTGTATTGTTGTTTTCTATCTTCTTCATGGCTGACTCAGTAGTCAGGGGGAGCTTGGTGATGGCATAGTGGTCCAGCTTCTCTCTCCTGGGGGCGCTCTTCCAAGGATATTTAGACTGCCTTCGGAGTCACAGTGTCTTAGGCCTCCTGGAGGTGGGTGACATGCGGACCTTCTTTTTGCGACTGTGGACGCCTTTCAGCACTGCCTTCTTTGCCTTCAAAGCCTTTGCCTTAGCTTCCACTTTGGGAGGGGCAGGGGCTTCCTTCTCGCTTTAGGCGCCATCTCCGAGAAAAGGGTTTCCTAGACCTGATAGACCCAGTATTCTTGACCACCTCTCACAGCTCTACTGGGGTGGGCAGGGCACTGGGGAGGAGGGGAGACAGAGAGACAGAGGGACCAAGAGACTGAGGGACAGGGAGCGGGGACAGCACAATGTGTGGAGAATCTGGGCACTGCAGCCAGACAGTCTTGGATGCAGGTCCCAGCTCTGCCCCTTTCTGGCTGTGTGACCCTTCTTCCTGCACCTCGGTGTCCTCATCAGTAACATGGGGAGAGGTAGAGAGCCACTGTGAGCACTTTGCAGCAGCCGGCACATGGCAGGAAGTCCATTCTGAGCCACACTGATGATAATAATGGCTAACACTTGCCTAGTGCTCGCCTCATGCCAGGCATGGTTCAAAGTACAGCAATTTAAATGTTAAGTCAGCTCATCCACTCAACAACACGGCAAGGTAGGGGCTACCATCACCCCCATGTTTTAGATGAGAAAACTGAGACCCTGAATCCATGCCAGGCTCAGGGTTGGGCACCAGAGATGCAGCTGTGACACAGACATTGTCTTTGTTCTTGAGGAGTCCAGCACTGGTGGGCCAGAGGTGTCAGCATGTGCGTTACTAGAACCCCTGATAGGTACTGGTAAGTGTAACATTTGGGGCCCCAGGAAGTCCCCAGGGAGCAGAGCGGGAGGGGGATTCCTTTGGACTCAAAGCCTTGGTGCAGAGCCCTGATGGACTTCTACAGAGATTTTCCAGCTGGCTGCAGTGGAACAGTAATTCAGGCAGAGGGAACAGCACAGGCAAAGTCAAGGAGGCAGGAGAGAGCTTGTGGGGAAGGAGAAGGAGCCAGGACTGTGTGGATCTGGGGTGTGTGGCAGGGAGTAGTACAGGTGAGGCTGAAGAAGCAGTACACGTGAGGCCCCTTGGTTTTGTTTTTCTCCTTGGGTTTCTGCAGCCCAGTGGCAGCTTCACTCCTGCTGGGGATGTGTCTGTGAGGGGCAAGGGCAGGGGCAGGGGCCTCAGCCAGAGGCACTGGCCTTTGTCCCTGACATCAGTTCTTAGGCTGGGAAGCCCTTGTCTGCCTCCCCACCTGCCCTTCCAGCTTCGACAGCTCAGGGGCCTCTACCAGTCTTGCCAGGGGGGTGGGCCTCATAGTTACCCCACCGACCAGCTTCTGTCCTCCCCAGCCATACAGAGCTCACCAACCTCCACGTGTCCATGCACATGTCTGTCCATCTGTGAATCTATATATGTGACATTTACCTAGAGCCATGCTGGCTTGTGCACTGCCCATGTCCTCTCGGTCCACCTCTGAGGTCCCCTGCTGTGCTGTGACTGCCCCCACCCAGCTCCCACCTCTCCACTTCCCTGCCTGGAAGTTTTCACAGTACCACAGGAGTGTGTCCCACTCCTCACAGGACACCCAGAAATGCCAGGACTGGCAATGACCTGGGAAAATTCCCTTGCCCAGTGAGAGGCAGTAGCCATCACTCTGGGGACAACTCTGGGTACATTCCAGAGTCCCTCAGTGGCTTCCTGGTGGGACTGAGCCCTAAGGGCCCACCGAGTGACCTGCCACACGCTCCCCACTGCCCCATGCAGGCCTCCTGTGATCACCTACCAGTGCCCGTCACCTACCCAGGCTCCCTCATTCACCTGTTCATGAATCTGTCCACACAGCAGTGCTCATGGTGCGCGCTCTGTCGGACCTGGTATGAAAGAAATGGGCACGGCCATGCCCTTGAGAGTCCACGAGGTTGTGCAGCTGGACATGGGCTCCTGAGACCATGGCGAGCCCCCAGCCCCACCAGCTGAGCCAGGGCAAGTGGGGGGTGAGTTCTGAGGTGCACCACTTCCTCATCACGGTCCCCACCCTTGGCT